CTTTTTCCTTCTTTTCTGCTTAAAAGATTGGCCCTTCTCTCCCTCATCATGCTTCTACCTTTAGTCAATGTCCAGTTTTCCCCAAAAGCTGATTTATGTGCTGCTTTTTTTTTGTCTCGTTTTCCAGGACCGAGGAGCAGCGACGTGTGATGATGGCAGAGCTGGAAAATGGACGGAGAGAGGAACAGGCCCAACAGGGTGGGTATTCTCCTAGGCTACCAGGGATGTTGGGCTGGGTGACCTGCATGGGGTGCACGACCCTCTGGCCATCCGGGGTATCGCCCGGGTTTTCTGCACCCACTGAGAGCAGCCTGAAGCCCGTCGGCTCCATCTCTCCCCCGCCCACCCCCCCCTGTTTCTAACGTTCCGCTCACCCTTTTTTTTTGTGCACGCATGTGTCTGCATCTGTATCATCTGTATGACCCCGTACTGTTTCCGAGTTCCGATCCTTAATACTTCCTTATCCTTTTTTTTTTTTTTTCAATTTTTTTTTTTTTTACGACAGCCTTATGTCCTGGCCCCCTTTCATTCTGTAAATCTGTGCCATGTATCGCTTGCTGGCTGTAGTTAGAAAAGATTTGGGAGTGTTCGATCCTCCTTTCCTCAAATACTGCATCCTGCCCTCATCCTCTCTCATCTCTGTGCCTGACGTCTGACCACAAGCTCCCTCTCCTCCCATCTTCTCCAGTTATCTATCTGTCCTCAATCCTTGTCTCTGACGTTGTGTTTTGTGAAGGCGATGGTTATGTGAAATCAGATGGCAGGAAGCTCGCTTTAACGGCAAGATTTGGCCACAATGAGGGAATGGTGGAAGCTTTGGCGGCCTTTCTGATGCTGTTTCTTGCAATGGTCAATCAATGCAGAGCGAGCGTGGGAGAGAGAGCGGGAAGCGGAAAGGGAGCGAGAGAGGGAAAGAGAACGCGAGAGAGAACGAGAAAGAGAAAGAGATCAAAGGGATCGGTACAGGACTCAGGACCGGAATCAGGACCGGAATCAGGACCGGAATCAGGACAGGAATCAGGACAGGAATCAGGACAGGAATCAGGACAGGAATCAGGACAGGGACAGAAACGACAGGGAGCGAGATAGAGATCGAGATAAGGATGGAAGGGATCGCGACAGAACGGATAAACATGTAGAGCGAGAGAGGGAAAAGGAGCTTGAAGCAATCAAAGACCAGGCAAGTGCATGCCTGTTGATGGCAGTGTCCTTGTTCCTTTCTTCTGGTTCAAGGAGCAGGGGTTGTGTCGAGGGACAGGGAGGGGTTGGTGTTATGCCCAGCGGTGTAATACTCGGTCTTCAATCCGGAAATGCTGACGTAATCTTACCAAGAATCCAGTACCTTTCACAGTGATCAAACTAGAGAAAGTCGCACAGGATTTTTTACCCGTCCTCCCCACTGTGCCCGCCCCCTTCCCTCTCTCCCCTCCCCCCCCCAAAGTGAACTCGCTTTGCTACCCACAAGCTGAAAAGGGAATGTATTTCTCTAAATCTGCTGGAGAGAGGGACAAAGATGTCAGCTGTGTGTTTGTTTGTGTGTGTGTGTGTGTGTGTGTGTGTGTGTGTGTGTGTGTGTGTGTGTGTGTGTGTGAGAGA